GCAGGGTTCGACAATGAACTAACAAGTGAAACATACCTAGACACAGTATGTGTAGTTCTTAGTATGCTGAGAAAATTATACAAACTGTATGTTTACTTTTAAAAAGGCCCCCCTTTTTACAAAACCCACTGCTGTAAACACTAACCTACGTATTGTGTGGAATAACGTTTGACCAATTGTTAGCTAAAGACTGTGCATAATATTCCCTACTGAAACAGTTGCAGATAGGAAAGTTTTTTCGCTCTAACCTAGTGGTACATCACAAACAAGTACAATAGACTGCTGCTCTTTATAAACAATATTATACAGTCTCTCTTTATAAACAATTTACAGTCCAATGCACACTAAACCATGTACATAAAAGCATGACACCACAACACTTTTTTCCAAGAAAGAGTTGCCGTTTTCAGACTCAAATCCATTACACTCTACAGTCAAGGTTGAGTGCTCTTCAACCTTGGCAGATAAGCTGGCAGCAGGGCTCAATTGAAAATATACTCCATTTACTCTGTGTGGGACACGTCGTTCTCAACTTATGTAGTAGGAATTAATATATTAGCTTAGATCACATGATTCTGTGTGCAACGGTTAATTATAATGCCCTGATTCCCATAACCTCCCTGTAAACATTATATACATCATGGAATATAGCTGTCTTTTTTTGCATCTGGAAAGTAAACCACTTTCTTCTCTAACCCTCGACGCGCATGTGCAGTGAGAGTTACAGTACTTCGTCTGTCCGTCCATTGTCTGTCCCCGCGAATTCCTCCACTACAAGCTAATGCGCTGCTCCTACCTGAAGCAGGGTGTATGCGTAGTGTCTCCATCAAGGATGCAATTAGGCTGTGGCACATATGGTGGGGTGGTTTCATAGGCAGGCTTCAGTAATCAGACTACAATGATAACTATAACCTGGGGGACAAAGGATGAAGGCAAAGCCCGCGTAACACAGCGCACACTGCCAATTTCCTCGTGCAAATCAACAGCAAAACGCAAGCTACCCAGTTAAAAATGTGTATACTGACATACAGAAGGCACTGGAGGATAAGAATTCCTCAGCAGGCATCCTGGCTTAGTCTCGTGGATCGACCAGGTTCACGCACGAGACCATAGTAATGCGCGCGCACCGCATTGGGGAAACGCCCTCTTCGGCGCATGCGGCTCACTGATACTGAGTTCAACGATCTACCGTAGTGACTTGCGGCAAGAAAGAAGCGATCGCTTGATATGCGTGCACACCTCAGGAAAATTTTGAGACGTTTTGTGGAAAAATTACCGCTTCAACTGCTTCCGGTAAGGGGCTAGCTGGTCTGAAGAAGAAGATGATGACACGCGAAATCGCGTAAGAGCGAATTCTCTGGTAGGGAACTGAGGGTACGTAGGAAGTCTTGGGGCTAGCTATTTATTGGCCTCTAGACTATTGCTAGTGATTTTTAAGCCATGTTTAGTCATTCTTGCTGAGTTTTTGAGGCGTTGTGTACGCGGATCACGTGAGATTTCACTCGTGTAATTATAGAGCGTCTATACCGACGCTCTGATATATACTTTCTGAATCTAATTGTAGCTTTTGTTGCTTTCGTTGGTTCATTTTGCCAAATTTACCAGTGAGTGCGATTTGTGTGGGATGTGGCATCATGGTCTGGTAAGGCATTATGCTCATAGTTCACAGCATAACATATGTGGCAGCAAACTCAGCAAGACACATGGAACTAAGCTACTGCCCAACACTGGTCTGTGATAGGCTCGTTGAAAAACATTGGTCCTCTAGTTGGCTAATATTTCAAACCAGCAATTCCCTCGTTTTTTGAGGGTTAGTATCAAACACAACAGATCTGCTCAGTCGTTTCATTGGCAATGACAGTAATCTTTAACTCTTTCAGTCACGAATTCGGCTTCTGCGCCCGATCGGCGTTTTCCAGCAACTCTCCCCAACGCATGCGTATTTCTGCCCAAATCGACACACCCCATTCATCCCGCGCACGCGCGCTGTGGCGGTCTTTCTTTCTGCCCGTTTTACAGACCAACGCACGGCCTCTGTGCCTCCTGCTGAGACATTTATGACATGTCTCACGCAATCCGGACATTGTTGCTTTTTTTGAAAGGGTAGATGAAAGGAACATCAAAGCTCCAACCGATATGTACACATCCAAGTGCCGACCGACCACTTCTGAGGATGCGTGGGTGAGATAATATCGCCGCCATGACGGCCGCTTACCGGGTCAGAGTTCACAAATGTGCGAGTTTTGTTTCTGGAAGTGTGTAAATTTACAACATTTTGTGACCGAAAGGGATACACAGTTTCTTGTGCACTAACTTCTCTGTGTATTAGAAATGCAGAACAGAACTTTTCTCAACTGAGATTTCAATTCATCGGTTCTGTAGCTATAACTTCAGCAACTACACGCTTGAACAGTTCACCCATGGATCTCCCTCTTTGCATGATATATGGGGCTAGCTACATACATCACACAGGCATATAGCTACGTTTAGTACAAACTGACCCACGTTAGCTTGCCATGCTGAGAGATCGTAGTTGTTATGAAACATTCATTAGGCTCATGCTTGAGTAGACACTTGTAATGATTCAGCAAGGCTCAAATCTGTGTTCTGTCAGCCATCAGCTTTTGGACTTTACCAAACACAGCCAATCCTTGGTTATAGTTGCCACGCTCAGAATCATCTTTTGTAATGAGTGTTTTGGAACTGGGAAGCTTAGGAAATCTGAATCGACAGTTTTATTTCTCCTGCAATGTGAGGAATATTTTTGCTTTAAAAAGAGGAGTACTAGGTCTTTCAATATTGCCCTCTTCTGCTGGGACTTTACATACACATCAAACTCTGCAGCATCTTTGACCCATATGCCACAATGTACATGTGGTGAACCTCTGGCCAGGCGCTCTGTTCTGATGGCATGCTCAGAAATTTCACCAAGGGGGTTTGGCAGTTGACTTCAAAAAAGTTTTGGAAAATAAACATTGAGTCTGTAATGAAAATGCCTCACTGCAGTAACAGGGTTACGCTTTAGCCAATTGGATTTCTGATCAAAGGACAATGCTGCAACCTCATCATCAGTGTAATAGACACCATACTGTCTAGCAATGGCATATCAGGCCAATTGAGGACTGCTGTCGACAATGTGAAATATCATGTTTGTGTGCCTAGCTGATGTATCATGGCTAAGAAATCATACAATATACGCTGGTAATATGGCGGTGAACCACGAAACCTTTTGGAATAGGTTTTGCCTTTCCGCACATACTGGCAAAACACAGTCTGAGCTTGTGCTGCAGTGAACTGTCTAGATGGCTTTTTTTCTCCCGGCAAAGTTATTATGATAACCCAACACTTGCTTGGCTTCCACAATAATATACTGGGCAACAAACAGATTATCAAGGTCTCTCGGATCGAAATATTTTCTGTAGGTTAGCTTTTAAGGCCTGCCGCTTCTAAATGTGCTATTAGCAAATGGGAACTTATAAGGATTAGACATGGCTTCAAAATTAGAGTCTGTCATGATAATGAGTGGTTTCTCTCCCTCAGCTGGTGCTACACAAATGATTTCTCTGGAACTCTCAGGGTTTTTAGCCATAGGAGCACAACTGATTTGCCTTCTATGCTCATTAGAGTATAGATTCTGCTTGTTTCCACCATCGAAAATGAACAAAACAGGACAGACAAAAGAAACACTGCTTGTAGGGGTGAGCTGGGGGAATTTTTGGGGATGCTTCAATATTCCATTTTTACCACACGACAAATTTTTGTACGCGGGCGCACACGGTAGTATGATACTCAATAATGGTGACTGACTGGCTTGAGTAGCTCAAACACTGTGGACACTAACTCCTCAGTTTATGAGGTAGAGAACGATACTTCTTTCACTTTTTGCTACGCTACTCTGGCTCCATCGTTACTTGATTGACTCAGCTCCACAGAAATCTCAGTCAGCCAGAAAAGGGTCATAAAGACCCAAAATCGGCAAGATTTTCAAGAGACATAGAATTCCGTCAACCAAAAATGACATCGGTGACTGTTTCATTATGTTTTGTGTTGTTTCTGAAATTCAAGCGTTATAAAAGTTCTGCATAATGGAAGAATCCAGGTCGAACAAAATTGAAGTAATCCAGCATAATTTCCTCGGTGCTAACCTCCTAGACGGTCAACTAAAACCACAACGTGGCATCTGGCAATGTAGCGCATGCGCGATGGCGGGCCGGCGTCTTTCTGCGCGCGCCTGACCTGACCCACCCACTCCCATATCAAGTGGCGATGGAACGTCGCGCTCGCGCCTCGAGGAGTCACCCTTCTCAATCATTATACTGCCGCTAATATTATATAGATGGGCAGGGCGCGTCCATTGACCCAGCCGCGGTCTCTCTCACGGAGACAACTGGTTAGCTAAACCAGACTAGGCGGGAGTCGTCACACGCCTGCTGTTGTTACGTACGGTGCCTCCATGATGCACAGAGAAAGCGGATCAGCCAAGGGGTAAGCCAATCCGATTATGCATAGGCTTTTTCACGGCATACTCTAACCCAGTAGCTTCAGGAATCGCCTTTTTACTTTACACGCACTTGTAGGTCAGAAGCCGGTTCATATTGGGTGGGTATAGCCCGCCTCATAGCCTGTGTGAAGCGTCGACACCGACAGACTGACAAACAAGTCCTGCTGCGCATGCGCGCCAGCGCTTCAGCGGGGCAAAGCACGGTGTTGCCACGTCAGTGCGCGTTTCTGCTGCTGATCCGAGTTGCTCCCGCATTTGAGCCAGTGAAGATGTTAACAAAAACCGCTCTCTTATTGGTTGTAGCTGCTATTTTGTTTGATGGTGGGCTGTGTGATTGCAATTGTGATTACTTTGATTACTTCTCATGTAAGTGTAGAGACTTCTTGACTTCTAAGAGGTATTAATGCCACCTTGATGCAGGGAATTTGGGTTTATCAATAAACATCTCAATCAATGAATCAACTACTCTCTCTATGGATGCATATCGTATATATTTTTATGATTGTCAAGAAGCTGAAATTCTTTGGGAGATTGTCAAACCTAATGGCGAGTATGAAGTGTACACTGTAGCCAACTATAGTGACTATCGCTATGGAAGACGTGAGACTATTACAGAGAGAGGACTATCGTTTGGAGGGTTTTGTCATCCACTTATTGATGTAATCTCCGACTGACAATAACTCCCACTGATCTGAGGTACAATGGAGCTCAAATCACAGGAATTGTGCGTCTTCCTGAGTGTTATAACACTTCCAACACTACCAATACTACAACCCTCAGAATACAAGGTGAATTGTGTTATAGCTATAGCTTTTCGTCTGTAGCTAAATCTATATACACCTTACAGGTCTCCTAAAAGCTCCCACTGATCTAAGTGTTGAAGCAGTTGGAGTTGATAGCATTAATGTGTCATGGAGTCCTCCATTCACCCTGGAAGGAGTCCCCATACTCCACTTCATTGTCTATATCACCAGTCAGGGAGTCTCAGAACAGAGAAACACCACTGAAACACACATCACTCTGGAGAGACCATGTGCCAGCACCACCTACCAGATCAGTGCATGGAATGAAGTGGGAGAGGGAAATGCTACCAGAAAAGGTAAGACAATTAAACACACGATCGACATTATAACACAAAAATGTCATTCTTCCAGCATTCTTGACCATCTTTGAAGCAGCTGTCAAAGTTATTACTGAGCTGCCAAAACCAGGAATATGTCTTTCCTGTTCTTTCTTCTCTGATTCTACTGCTGATGGTTGCACTGTCAAAATGGAAAACGACAAACATGTTTTTGTTTTCAATGCCACCAGAAGCAATAACAACCTTGCACTACTGGAATGTTTCTCAGTTTCAGGAGGGGAGTACAGCGTCAGTGTCCATGAGATTCACTACGGTGTTGTGCATGAACATGTTTGCATTCAAGTAAACAACATTACATTATCAATTACAGAGGGTATGCCAGTGGTATGACAGTATTAACACAACTAAAATTACTATGTTACTTGCAGGTACCTCACTGAAGTATTCCAATGTGAAACCAGTGAGTGGAGGGATATGTGCCTTTTGTGTTTTCACAAATGGCTCTACTGCTAAAGGATGTGCCATAACACTATTCAGTGATCAGATTACATTCAACTACACAATACCTCGTCACTCAACTTATGACATAGCATTGGTGGAGTGTTTCAAGGTATTGCAATCAGGATCATACCATGTACTGGTATCAGAGATACTAGTGGATGGATCAGAGGGCTACAATACACTGGAGCTACCTGATATCACTATAGCATTAGCCTCTGCAACTGACAATACTTCCAAGCAAGAAAATGGTAGGCTCCACTACAAACCAGCAGTATAGGTTAAAATGTGCTTTTTAGGTACTCCAACAGTAACTGGACTTTCTGCTGTCCTTTGTCTGACACTGCTGGGCTTGATTATAGCCATTTTACTTGCCTCTATCCTTTTCCTTAAGAGAAGATCAACCACAAGGGGAAAGAACAACGGTAAGCGACTCTGAAGGCAGAGTGAAACTGCATATGTGAGCAATAAGGGTTGTTTTCTCAGACACTATCAAAAATGCTGATATATAGCTGTATTTGTGTCTGTTTTATAACAAACCCTATTTCTGCTAAAACATTTCCTTAACAATCACAAGGAGAAAGAACAACAGTAAGCCACCCTGAAGGCAGCGTGTAACTGCATATGTGAGCAATAAGGGTCGTTTTCTCAGTGCCTATCACAGATGCTGACAGCTGTATTTTTTTAATTTTTTATACAAACTTAATCCTGCTAAAACATGCTAACAGTTTCCACAGATTCAGAATGTACCACAGACCCAGGACCAACAGCTCCTGTGGCAACTGCTCCACTGTATGAGAACACCCAACTACCACCACCACCACCCTCAGTCACTGATGGTGGAGACCACATGTATGAACATGTGGAGCTGAGGCCTATCACTGGACAAGAGAAGGAGATTGCAGTGGCTCCTAATGCTGCTTATGGCACTGTTCGTAGATAAACACCACAAACGAAATAAGTGAAACATGTCTACGACTAAGTGTGTGTGAAGTGTTTAGTATGCTGTGAAAAGACTGATAGCTGTACTTGTAATAAATACGCCATACTATGAGCATTTGGGAAATTTTGAACAGTTTAATTTTTTCAACAGTTGTGTGGAGGCTTGCCAATTATCCCAGGAGCTACCAAACTTACTGGTAGCTACTTCACGGGTGGCAGTCGAGTCTTTGCTGGCCCGTGAACGCGCGGGAGCTCGACCGTTCAACCAGTTGAAGCACCGTTCACGCTCGTATACCACGGTTATTATTGAACTCGAGAATCGATAATGCACTCGGCACTTGGTCCAATAATACCCGTAGTGCAATACAATATCCACAGGAAAACTACAGCGTAAAAACGTAGTTGAACAGAAATCCGTGTTACTACTATAAACGGATGATAAACGGAGGTAACACTTGCGGAGTGCAACGGAGACCGGATCCTCGTAGTCTCTGACCCCGCCTGTGTCCGTTATACGCGTGCACACGCTCCGCGCACTTGCGACGGCTGATAATGGCGCCAAAAGACGGCGCAAAAGGATTTTATGCGGTCATTGTCAGCGACTAGTGCCTCCTTCTACCTACTACCGACATCGCGAGCTATACTTTGACGTTGTAGACCAGAAATGGAATGATTCTAATGCATGCAGCCGACTCTACCATGACAGAGAAGAAGGTTAGCTAGACCAGTCAAGATCTTTGCACGATCAAAGTAGTCGCCGGTAACTACTTTTCTGTAGAGTTGGTTTCTTCATCGAGCGAATTTGAAAGTGACGACATGGGTAGGATTGACCAATGTCCATCAGATCCTAGTTTGTCGATTAATGGAGACTCTTATAACTCCGATTCTACCCCAGAGTCAAGTGATGAAGAAGTTCACAATGAGGAGGTATAAGCAACTATGGAGTATTTTGTATGTAGCTATGTGCTGATAAGATTATTCTCTGAACGCAGATGGAGGAGATCTGGCCACTTACTGAGAGTGATGATGATGCTGCCTCCCCATTGGAACAGATCCCATCCACATCTATAGATAAAACGACACCAATTTGGAAACTTCTCTTCTTCCTCTTCTACTGGCAATCGGTTTTCAAGGTCTCAAATAATGCCTTTACAAGCCTCCTCCGTTTTCTTAAATATTTTTTTGTGTTTTGGGAAGAGCATTTACAAGTCCACCACTCCTAGATTTTTCAAAACATGTACCTGCGACATTCAAAGATGCTCTTTTACGTTCCGGCATATGTTGTTCTGAGTTTATTGAATATGTTGTTTGCCCCTCTTGTCATTCTGTTTATGAGTTCGAAGACTGCTTTGAACATGTTGCTGGTGAATTAAGGACAAAATACTGCTGTCATGTAGCTTATCCGAACCACCCTCAACTATTGCATCGACAGTCATGTGGAGCACCTCTTCTTGAAAAAGTGAAATCAGGTAGGGGGGAAAAGCTTATACCAATCAAGGTATTTCCCTATATGCCAATTCATAAGTCACTGCAAGCACTGGCAAAGAGACCTGGGTTTATAACTGCATGCGAAAAGTGGATAGATCGCACACATAATGCTCCTTACCTTTGTGACATTTACGATGGATGGATTTGGCATGATTTCCAAACATCTAACTTTCTTAGTTCACCAATGTCATACCTTGTAACCCTCAATGTTGATTGGTTTCAGCCATTTCTTCACACTCAGTATTCAGTTGGTGCAATGTACCTCACAATTCAAAATCTCCCACGTGATATTCGGTGTAAGGAGGAGAATGTTATTCTGGTTGGAGTTCTTCCAGGACCAAGTGAACCTAAACTGGCCATGAACTCCTACTTGTCTCCACTAGTTGAAGAACTAAAACAAGGTTGGAAATGGTTTTCAGTCATGACTTCTGAAGGGGTGCAGGTAAATAATCGTGTTGCCCTGTCATGCGTCGCATGTGATATCCCAGCTACTAGGAAGGTTTGTGGTTTTATTGGCCACAATGCATCATTGGCTTGTAACAAAGGTTTCAAAAAGTTTCCAGTCCAGTTTGGAAGCTCAACCGATTACTCTGGGTATGACCGTTCAACTTGGACATTGCGGTCATGCAGTATGCATCGCAGACATTGTGGGGAGATATCAAAGAGACTACAAAAACTGGTATGAGGAAAATGGAATCCAAGTATGGGGTGCGGTACTCAGTCCTCCTTAGTTTGCCATACTTTGACCCTGTTCGATTTTCCTCCATTGACACTATGCACAATCTATATCTCGGAACAGGAAAGCGTGCATTCAAAGTATGGATTAGTCAGAATATTCTTAGCAATGAAAATCTTGTAGAAATTGACCGAAAAGCTATATAGGTGTTTTCAGGTTCCTACAGGTGTTGGCAGGCTACCTAGCAATATAAGTTCAAATTATGGTGGTTTTAAGGCAGACCAGTGGAAAACCTGGATTACTGTGTATTCTCCTATATTGTTGAAAGACATTCTTCCTAATGACCACCTTCAGTGTTGGTTACTATTTGTCCGTGCATGTATCATCCTGGGTCAGCGCATAATCAAAACAAGTGACATTTCTACTGCCGATCTTCTTTTACTGAATTTTTGTAGACGCTTTCAGGAACTTTGTGGAAAAGATCATTGCACAATGAACCTTCATCTTCATTTTCACCTTAAAAGAAAACATGCTTGATTTTGGACCTTCACATGCTTTTTGGTGTTTTCCATTTGAGCGCTATAATGGAATTTTGGGATCGTATTCAACATGAAAGCTGTCGAAGTATTATACAGTTTATGAGAAAGTTTATGACTTCCCAGTCAGTGAAAAGCCTATCGATGTTTGCAGATGAGGAACTTTGTTCTTTCCTCCCAAACGCCATTAGTAGCCATGTTTCTATGCCTGTGCTTGCCGATAGTGTTGCAATAAAGCTACTGAACTTTGCTAGCTGCTCTGTTTCTTCATTTTCATGCATAGAAAACATTGTTGAACTACTACCTCCATTACGTGAGTATGTTTTTCCTGCTGAATCATTAGACGAACTTGAAAAATTTATAGCCAGTTATACACCGGTTTTACTGTATCTTTTCTTTCACCATTTTATCTCCGTTCTAGGCTTGCAGGTGACCTAATAGGCTCTGATAACAATGCTGCTAGTGCCACTTGATCATCCGTTGTTATGGCTTACTGGCCTGGAAGGGGTGATGGACCTAACAATGATAGATAATTCTAGTATGCGAGTTGGTGTTGTACAATACTACTTTAGGCACCGTGCAGAGGTTTGCAGGGTGAACGGAAGATTAACATTAACATTGATTATGCATATGTACTATGGAAGCAGAAGCATCCAAATCAACATTGGTTTGGACACTCGGCTACAATTTGTTTTAACACTTTTGAACCTTCATCGCCATGCAATTTTATTCCTGTGCAACGTATTGCCAAAAAGTGTGCTTTTTGTACTCTTATGTTGGAAGTAATGCCTAACATAAGAGAGAATTTGTTTGTTGCTTCCCCCGTATGCATTAAATACACTCTGTAAAACATCCATTACTTTGTTGTTGCCAAGCTATTTGTACCGCTCACTGGCCGCCCCAACTCTCTTATATGTCAGTGCTATGTAGCGGACAGACAGACAGACAGACCAAGTGCGTAAACCCTTGTTGTATGTGCGCCAATGTTTAATGTTTCTTGTTTATGCAAAACATTAGTCATAACTATTCAAGCATTAGTTTTTGGAATGACTCTAGAATCATTTTTGCAGATGGTCTCTCGGTATATTGCATACACCGGCATTTTGTGAGAACTTCTTCAAGTATTATGATTTTTCCTTTTGGAAATTCATTAAAATACTTGTGATCCAGAATACACTGCATGATACGACCTGCAGAATATATGTCGCTTGATACAGTCTGAGACGTCAAGCCATTAACAACTTCGGGTGCAATATGAGGAAATTTTGTAGCGTATTCCGCCTTCTCCTTGTCAGAAAGATGGTACTTTCGATCATTATCTGTTGGAGCAGCCTTGCCAAAGTCAATTAAAACAATCTGAATAATTATAGTCGGTCTTTTTTGGGTTCTCAGTTTTCGAGTTGGTAAGTAGAATATTGCTTGGCATTATAATTATCATTGTGCAATATTTTTACATCGTCATGAAGGTATGACAAAGCCTGCATATGTTGTATGTTTATTCCTAGCCAAGCATAAGAATCAGATATCTTATTTTGCATGATAGCCTTATAGAGTCGTAAGAGACGTCAGGCTATCACCAACACCATGAAATTGCATTACAATCCTGTAGGACTCAGTTGCTGTGCAAACACCGAACAAATACGGTAAAAAAGGGTGAGAGAGTAGCGCTAGGGTATAAGCCTCCTTTTATACATCTGCAAGAAGGCTGCGTGGCTGCAGTTCCTTAACAGCAACCGGGATTCCCCTAAAAAGCTTTAGCTTCACTACAGCAAAAGATCCTTGACCCAAGAATAGTTCTGAATTAGCCGAAGCAGGGTCATGCAATAAGGAGTGATCTATTTCAAGCAAATAAGGTACAATTGCCTGATAATTCTTGCGCTTCCGGATTGCTTCTTTCCTTTCCTGAAGCTCACGATCCCAGCGTTCCCAGCCATCATTCTGTAGTGAACTATCTTCTTTTCACAGTCTTCGAGCAATCGCTGCTTTAGGTCTGCTTCCGATTTTAGGGTAGAAATTTGGCGAGATTTTTATTGCAAGCGCTTTCGTTTCTTTCTATTCTTTCTCGTCCTTCTTTTCTCCTCCACTGTATTTTCTCTGCTACGCTTTTTGCCCTTGGTAGTCGCCTTCTCCCGCGCCTTCTCCCCGCTAGGCGTTACGCAAATGCGCACTAATTGGCACTTATATACCACCACGCGGGAGAGTACGTTTCAAATAGCAGCTTTCACGTCAGCAAGATGGATACTGGTGGTTTTTATAGAAGAGGGACTTCCATAACTTCCTCTTTTGCTGGGGCGCATGGTGATATGTCGCATTCGTATACGAGCACTCCTCCCGCTGGGTTCCACTATTCCGGTCGATTGTATATACGCCCGTGAGCCAGAAACTGGACCAGTATATCTCGAGGAAAAGAAAGAAATATCCGAACTGAAAGGCGCTGTGTCGTCGCTCCGGAAAAGGTTAAGGAAGTGGTGGAGCGTCAAGAGGAGGCCTCCGCAAACAAGGAGCAGGCAGCAGAGGGCAAGCGCAGCTATAAAATCCCCACTGATCTTTCAGTAAGTAGCTAGCTACTCTAAAGACAGCTGTTCCAACTGTTATGGATCTTTTTTACAGTTAGCAGTGAAGCAGTTGCATGAAAATTCCCTCAACAAACGTGAAGTTTGATGGCAAAGAAGTGTGAGAGTATTTGTGTTTATTTTACCTCTGCATACTGTTCCTATATATTACAAGTAAATAAAAAATCCTGCGGATTAAAAAAAGAGTACATATAGGGATCGTATAAAAAGAAAGGGAGACAAGATAGGGATTGTGTTTGTGGAAACACAGAGATGCTAGCGAGGAGTTAGGACTCCCACAGGTCATTACAACAGCCCTATATCGTCGTATCGGTGCTTTACTACTTCCTCGTGAATATATCAGCCAACCTTGCATACTTGAATTTTGTTTTCTTGCGTTACACATTTTTTCCATGTTTCCATGTATATACATGTATATACATGTGTATCCAATGTTATGGTCGGCTCCACCTAAATGCGCACTCCAAGGAAATGTAGCATGACAAATCTATCAAAGGTAATTAGTAAGTACTTCATTACCTATAGCAGACTCTCTCATCACTCCCACTCCCACCCTACGAAGAAGATTGAAAACTTTCCCTATCATAGCCCCATACATCTATGATGCTAGGTACTCCCACCGTAGGATGATATAGGGCTGTCACGCTTAAGAATGTCAATTAGTCACGCTTAGGGAATGTCAATTAGTCACGCTTGGGGAATGTCAATCAGTCACGCTTAGGAATGTCAACTTCCGTCATTCGTAAAAATTCGAGCTTCCGCCGTGCGCGCGCGCAGATTCGTAGGAAGTCTCGCTTCGCGCGCAGTCAGTAGAGCGCGCGAACGAGCGGCCTCAGCGGACTGTTTACGCACGCATTTGGCTGGCAGGCGCGAGGCAAGATATGCGCGTGCGCATTCCTAGTTGCCGGGCGCGTTAGCGTGAGGCAACTACTCCGGGTTGTCGTACGTGTCGGTCACGCTTAAGAATGTCAATTAGTCACGCTTGGGGAATGTCAATTAGTCACGCTTAGGAATGTAAACTTCGGTCAAGTCTAGCTTCCGCCGTGCGCGCGCGCAGATTCGTAGGAAGTCTGGCAGTCAGTAGAGCGCGCGAACGAGCGGACTGTTTACGCACGCAGGCGCGAGGCAAGATATGCGCGCGTGCGCATTCCTAGTTATACTTACGGAGGCAGCATGACGCAATCTGACACAGTGGGGGAGTGACTGTGCACCCGGTCGTGCAGCAGATTCATAGGTATATACACGCAATAACTGTTGATGAGACATCGCCTATAATTATAATTTCTAGTGGAAATTCTTTGGGCGAGCGGAGCGAGAACTCAAGTACGTATTACAACCATCATCGTTAGTAGCGATAATATAGCTACGTACATGATGTTTCAGCAAGTAACAGAAGTTACTGTGGTGTTGCCATATCAGGTTGAGTAAGGCAGCTTGCGCATACGTAGCTAGTTAAACTAGACCAGAAGAAAGTAGCAACGGAAAGGTAATGTGCCTGCTCCCCCTCTCCATCCCTTAATCGTCGCTGAAAAGACAAGCCTCTCTGTCGTGAGAACTTTCGACGGCCGGGCCGAAGACAATATGTTACCTCCTTGACTGGAGATCACCGCCAAGGGGGAAGCCATGCACGTTGTACTCGCCGCTCTCTGCGCAGTCTTGTTTTCTCTCTCACATTCAGATAGAATGAATGGAGGAAACGCACAAACGGCTTATAATCCAAGAAGAGTATCAATATTCACTGGCTTTTCAGCCGTGATATCGAAAATAATACCGACGTACACTCACCTGTAAATGCCAGGGTAGGAGAAGCCGATGATTTAGTGTCTGAGTTGATACATGTTGGCTGCAAATCGGATTGCCATGTGCACGCGAGGTCCGCAGTATACCAACGTCGGCGGGAGGCCCTTCGGAAACAGCCGAAACACACCTTTCTCAAGGCAAGGGAGCGACGACTACTACGACACCTAGTTCTCACGCAGCAGGCGGCAGCGTCCCATTTCAAAAATAGGAGCGGCAACGCGTTTGTACACGGTAGGAGCGGGAAACACGTCTTTCTTGCAACTGTTGGGGCACGGTGACGTGAACCCTAAACAACATCACATGCAAGAAAGCCACAAAGCTATAATCATTCCTGTGCATGCACACCAACGTAACTAATAATTATTGGTGTGCTCCCGCTAGCCAAATATTAGTGGTTGATATTCATGTAGTATGCTACCAAACACTGTTTTATTTCTATGAAAAAGGAGCGATGTGCATGATCATCTAAAGCTATATTTCCAATTCTTTAACACATTAGAGACTTGACTGGGGTATATACTTCTCCTTCTAAAAGCAACTAGCTACTGCCTCCTCTTACATTAGTCAACAGTGTCATCTTTCTTATCACTTTCTCTACTAGATCACTTTACTCCCACTGATAATACCGAGGAACCGTCACTAT